GACAGAGAAGACCTTCTCTAGCCATACATTAGTTTTACTGCAATACGCAAAAACTGCAGTACGGGATGCTCCCCCGAGCTGCAAAATCGATCGCAAAATAGGTTTTGCATTTGGTATTTATTTAATTTAATTTATCTTTATTTTTGAGTAGTAAAATAATAAATAATCTTCTAATTTGACAAAATGACTTATAAAAATACTAAAATATCTCTTTTATTTTTACTTTCATGAAAATTAGATAATATAATATTTAAAATAATGAATATCATATTTTATATTTGTTCATAATAGATTAAATATACATATTAATTATATACTTTTCACAATAATATTAGTGCTAATTTCATGAAAAATCAGATAGTATAATATTTAAAATAGTTAATATCATATTTATTTTTTAATTTTATATATTTCACAATAATAGTATAAAATATACATATTAGTTACGGTATTTGTATTTTACAATACAAATAAAAAAATAAAATTAAATAACAACAAAATTACTAAAGATCACGATTTAAAAAAAAAAAAATAGTGTTGAAAACGAAATACAAGATCACACAATACTAAAAGTAAAAATACATTATGAACCCATAAACAAAAAACAAGCGCGAGAATTTAGTAATTTGGCAAGGTGATACCGCTTCCTTGAAGATCATTAAAAATTGGCCAGTTGTATTGGATGGAAATGGATCCAATTGGGCTTATTGAGCTTTTTATCCAAGATCCATGCCTTTTCACTTTCAATATATGCTCGAACTCTAGGATCTTTTATGAAACTAACATCTTCAAACAGAATTTTATTTTCTTCTCTCATTTCTTTTAGAGCATGGTATTTGTTTTGTATTTTCAATTGGTTTCATTTGTTGGTTTGATTTTTTTTCTACTCCTCAAGAAATTTGTTGTTCTCTTCCTGCATGTCACGATGAGTGATGATATCATCATTTATCTTTCTTTTTAGTTTGACTTTCTTCACACCAATAGGTCTTTTAGAATGAAAATTATCTGAGTCATCTAAGGTTAGAGAAAATGAAGAAATGACCGGGGATGCTTGGTCGGTAGACTCGGGAGTAGGGTTTCCTGCCACAAAGAGATATAATGACCACATTGTTTTTTCTTACTCCTCGTAGCATGTTTTGTAGTTTTAAGCGGGATTGTTGATAACCGAGTTATCTAAATCTGGTCGTCTCTCAAGGAAGACAATTCAGAGCTTCATTCGCTAATTAATTGTCCAAAGCACAAAATAACAAATAGATTTCTAAACATTCTATCAAGATGGTCGAGGTTGAATTAAAGCTAATTTATACGACTAATTGAGAGCAATTGAAATAAATAAAAGAAAGACGAGAGCTATAAGAGAAACGTGGGGATTTTTGTGGACCAGAGCCTCTATCGCTCAAGAAAATGCAATTAAACAAAGAGAAAACATGCTAGCTAAATTCTTATTAGGTAATTTTTTTATATATAAACATCCCAATGTGGGATAAGGGGTAGAGGCTACATCCCCGATCTGTGAATATAATGGCCCAAAGAGGGTTAAAAAGTCAATGGTCTACATCAATATCGAAGATACATAGAGCAACATCAAAACAGAAAACAAAAAAAACAATGGTCACAAAATATCCGATGTGGATCTTAAGTCAAGTCCTCATAAAAGGTCGTCCTGGTCAGAGTGACCTGGCATGAGGTCCAAAACGACAAGTCTAGTCAGGGTCAGGTGGTGGCAGACGTCTGAGTCTGAAAGATGAGTACTCTAGCTGGTCCATCCGAATGAGCGTCCAAAGCCGGAGGGGAATGCCCTCAGGATGAAGGATGCGTCTCTGGGGTATAGATGCCCCCGTGCTAGCAAGAAAATCAACGGGTCGATCCCCCTCTCGGAATATGTGTGAGACCTGGTAAATAATCGAGCGGAGGGTGTCTTTGATGCGCATAAGGGAATGCTGGATCTGCCATGAGCCCTAGTGGCCAGATGTCAAAAGTGTGATGACAGCTGCGACATCCATCATTATCCAGATATGGGAGGTTCTTATTAGGTAATTAATGCAAGCTTTATTAACCTAAATGATTGAGTTTTAACCAAAGTTTGAAACTATAATACAAGATAAACAAGCTCCTATATTTACTTAGGCACACACTGAAAATAAAAATCTTCGAACTTTTCCCCATTAAATAAGCAAAATACCAAATTCACCGTGAAAGAATTCATAAGCAAAAAATGGAACAAATACGGAGCAATAAGTTTTAAAGATAAGGACCCACTCTCTTAATGCATGCGTGAAGAAAATCAGGGTGAAAAGCTCTGCACTTGCAATAAAATGAAGTCGTCAGAATCTCGCAGGAAAATAAGAGTCATAGAACTCCCAATACAAAATATAGAGAGAAAAATATAAAAAATAACTTTCACAAGAGGGAAAGAAAATAAAATGAAGGATGGCTCCTTAATTACAAAGAGAAGAAACATATTTATACTAAGGCCCCAAAAACACGCACTAGGTGCACATACTAGGTGCACTCGCTAGGTAGAGAACTAGTTCGCTAGGCGGACTGGTCTTGGGTGTCTTGTGTACACTCGCTAGGCGGACTGGTATTACGAACCTTGTGCACACTCGCTAGGAGATGAACACGTTTGTTAGGCGGACTGGCCTTGTGGGTCTTGTGCACACTCGCTTGGCGGAGAACACGTTCGACAGACGAACTGGCCTCTCGAATCTCGACAATGACTTGGCAACGACTAGGGGTTCCTCGGAATAGCTCGAAATGGCTCATGCTCTCGGAACATGGCTCGATTCTTCTCTTTCATCCTCTAAAATGGACCTAAAAGTTGCACCAAAGACACGAGAAAATACGTCAAAATACAAAAACCAAAAAGAACATAAAAACACACGAAACCAACAAAAATGGACCGGTTAAAAAAGAGAACGAACCTAAAAAAGACTTTACAACACATAAAACACATGAAAAACACCACAAAATATAACAAACATATCATCGTCTTTGAATTTTTCAGGATTCTTAATAATATCCCAAACGTGATCGTATTTCTACCTGAATCTGAATTTGGATCTTGTGCGAATAACACTCTTGCTATGAACATCTACAAGTTTTATAAAAATAATTAACCATTGCTAATGTAAATAATAAATTTAAAAACTTAAAAATATAATAAGATTTGAAACTCACCGTATCTTTATTTGAAACACCACTCTAATGCATATCTTCTACAACTTTTATGTATGCGTGGAGTCCCTTGGCTGTTTTCTCAATTGTTTTAAGCATAGATCCTTAGTACGAACCTCTCATTGCTCAAGTTTTTCTCTGTTTGAAGCTTCTTCTTTACGAGACCAAAATCTGTCAGATGATTGGTACACCCCAATATTTGGGTTATGAGAAATTTCCATATAAATTTGAAATGGAAGAAATTCTTCACCGTGGTTATAGGAAGACGACCGGATCGACATTCTTACAAATAGTTAGATGTGATAAAGGTTTAGTGTATAAGAATAAAATGTCATTATGTACCCACTACAATATCATATCTTCTTTTATAGTGAGTAATTCCCACCCTTCTCTATGATCACCCGAAAATGACGACTAACTGCACAGACTCTCACATCTCTCAATGTTTTGACCGAAATGACCGCTTTTAGCAAAGATTCTCACATATCTCAAAGTTTTGACTCGAAAATGACCTCTGACTGCAAAAGACCCTCACCCTTATCTATGTTTCTCACCTAATAATGACAAGTAACAACACATACTCTCACATCTATCAATGTTTTGACCCGAAATGACCACTCTCTACAAATATGCAAACATTTCTCAAAGTTCCGACTCAAAAATGACCTCTCGTTGGAAAAGACCCTCACCACTCTATATGTATCTTACCCGAAATGAACACTCTCTACTAAGGTTATCCCATTTATCAAATGTCTGACTCGAAAATGACCTCTCACGGCAAAAGACTCTCACCTCTCTCTATGTTTATGATCTGAAAATGACCTCTCTATAAATGTCCTCGCATTTCTCAATTTTTTGACTCGAAAACTACCACTCTCTGCAAAGGTTCTCACACTTCTCTATGTTTTGACCCGTAAAAAACCTCCCACTTCAAAGACCATCACGTCTCTGAATGCTTGACCCGAAAATGACCACTCCCTATAAAGTTTTTCACACCTCTAAAATGCTCTACATTAAAAACATAAAATATGCACATTATCACTCAATTCAATCTCTTCAAACATCATATCTGACATAGGATATTATCTGTACAAAGACGAACCGATTTGGTGAGCCGGTCGAGAAGAGCAGACCGGAAGCAAACCAAGCCGAAAGGCGGGAATCCACGTGATCGAGCAGCCCAAGGCTCGACCACACAAGCGATCGAACAATCCAAGGCTTGACTGCACAGGTGATCGAGCAGCCCGATGCTCGATCAGACTGGTCGAGCTACCCATTAATCGATCAGACGAGTGATCGAACAAGCTGAGTGATCGAGCAAGTTGATCGACATAGACCCAGACGCGTGCATAGCAGATGCGCGTGAGGATCTCTGACTGAGCTTCAGGAGAATATTTACCCCATGTGCCGGGTGGACACGTGTTGACAATGTATTGGGTGATAGCGATAACCACCTCTGACAGCGCCCAACGTCCCGCGGCACCTCTGACATGTGCGCGGCGTGTCAGAGTACGGACGGGCAGCTTGGGCAGCACACGTATCCTTATCCGGGCAGCTATTAGGGCAGGTATCTCACCCCTATAAAAGGGGGATGAGCCTTTCTTACTTAAAGGAGGAGTGCCACCGCAGGCAGCCGTGCAAACCCCGGGCCAACAAGTGGTTACGATGACCCGAGAGGAGATGCAGAGGATCGCAGCGGCCGCGGCGGCGCAGGCGGTGCAACAGGTCACAAGTCACACATCGCACGCCACCACTGCGCCGACAGCGGCAACAGGGAACCAGGATGAGGATGTGTCTAGTTATGGGGAAGGAGGAGCTGGAAGAGATCGGGCCATGGAGAGGATGGCGAAGCAGTTGCGTCAGTTGCAAGATAAGGTGGAGGGGAGGCCAGAGAGGAGAGCTCGAGGACATCCCTTCTCAAGGGAGATTCTCGCTGCTCCTTTGCCAAACAATTTCAAGGAGACCAACTTGGTGTATGACGGGTCATCTGACCCATCGAGGCATGTGAGGACCTTTGAGAACATGGCGGTGTTGCATGGATACTCTGATTCTGTTTGTTGCAGGGCGTTCTTGTCGACCCTACGCGGAGGAGCGCTTGACTGGTTTCATCAATTACCTTCGGGATCGATTGCGGATTTTGAGGATCTTGCCAGCAAGCTCACTAACCAATATTCGAGCGCAGTGGCACAAGAGAAGACTTACTTGACCCTTATGGCGATGAAACAGGGGGAGAAGGAATCGCTGAGGAAGTATGTTGCTCGATACAATAAAACATGTTTGGAAGTGCACTCCGCTTCAGATGAGGTGAAAGCAGGAGGATTGATTAGGAGTCTTCGAGCAGGGCCCTGCCGAACTTCTTTGGCAAAGACCCCGGCTCGATCATACGAGGATGTTCTAAAGCGGTGCAGGAAGTACATTAATCTGGAAGAGATGGAAATGGAGTTTGCAAAGCTCGAGGGGATGTCCCAGCCAGAGCCAAAGAAGGAGCAAAACCGCTCGAGGGAAAGGTCACCAAGGGGAAGCTCGCCTAAGAGGAGCGAGCAGAGGAGAGTGTCTCCTCGAAGGAGGAGTAGGGATGCGAAAGGGGAAAAGAGAGATGAATGGCAGAGGAGGCCTATGGTGTTCGAGAGGCAGAGGTACCAAAACTTTACTCCCTTGAGGAAAGATATGACAGAAGTGCTCGAGGCTATGGAGCAAAAGATGTCGACTGAGGACGTAACTTGGCCAAAGACAAGGTTCACCGGCCCGCATCGGCCCCGGTCGGATTTGTATTGTCGATTTCACAAGGATTACGGCCATACCACGGAGAACTGCAGGCATTTGAAAGATGAGATCGAGAGGTTGATTCGGGCAGGGTATCTGAAGGAGTTTGTCTATCACGACAGGGTGAGAGGAAAAGGCAGGAGGAGATGTAGAGAAGATTCTGAGGAGAGGAGTGATAGAGATGAAGAAGGAGATGGAGGGGATGGTCGAGGAAAAAGGTCGAGAAAGGAGGGAGATAGATAGGGGCAAGGAGGAGGGGCCCCGCTGAAAAGAGGAACGATTTACATGATTTTTGGGGGGCCGACAGATGGTGACTCGAACAGATCGAGAAAGGAGCATGCGCGAGCGGTGAAAAGAAAGAGAGAGGAGGTGGGGATTACAACGCGCATGCCGGTAATAAGTTTCAAGGCGGAGGATGCTGAGGGGGTAGTCTTACCACACAATGACGCCCTGGTGATAACCGCAGAGGTTGCGGGCTTTGATGTAAAGAGGGTGTTCATTGATACAGGGAGTTCGGTGGATGTCATGTTCTATGATTGTTTCGTGCAGATTAACAAGGAGCTGAATGCGGAGCTGAAGCCGGTAGCCACAGTGCTGTATGGCTTTAATGGAGGAGAAGTTATGCCGATGGGGGAGGTCAGTTTGCCCGTGGCGCTGGGATCCGGAGAGCTGAGGAAGGTGCGCATGGTGAGGTTTGTAGTTGTAGGGGCTGAGTCATCCTATAACATCATCATGGGGCGGACGAGCTTGAACGCATTCCAGGCAGTCGTATCCACGTACCACATGACGATCAAATATCCGGTGGGCGAAAACGTAGGGGAGATTGCCGGGGATCAGCTCACTTCGAGAAGTTGCTACCAAACAACAGTTAGCAATAAAAAACAATTAGCAAGGAGACAGGCCGAGTCGAAGGGAGAGGAAATCAATCGACCAGGAGGATCAAGGTCGAAGGAGGAGAAGCAAAAAGTGGAGAAGGGTAAGGAGAAGATGGACATCCAGCCGGGAAGAGAGGTTGAAGAAATTCAGATGATCGAGGGATGCGAAGGTAGAAAGTTCAGAATCGGGAAGGATCTGGAGGAGCCCATTCGGTCGAGGTTGATCGATTTGGTGAGGGAGTTCGCTGATATTTTTGCCTATACAGCAGAAGAGTTAACGGGAATAAGTGCCGAGGTGATCGAACATCGACTAAATATCGACCTCAGCGTGAGGTCGGTGAAGCAGAAAAGGAGGCACCATGGGGCAGAGATGGACAAGATTATCGAACAGGAGGTCGAGAAATTGTTGGGAGCGGGGCATATTAAGGAGATTCAGTTCCCTGAGTGGCTGTCAAACACGGTGATGGTGTCGAAGTCGGAAGGAAAATGGAGGATGTGCATTGATTTTCGTGACCTGAATAAGGCGTGCCCGAAGGACCTATATCCGCTGCCCAGAATCGACCAGCTGGTCGACTCAATGGCAGGGTGCGAGTTGCTAAGTCTGATGGATGCATCCCAGGGGTATCATCAAATCCCCTTGTCTAGAAAGGATAGGAAACGGGTGAGTTTCGTGACGAGTCGAGGGACCTTTTGTTACGTGGTCATGCCGTTCGGTTTGAAGAATGCGGGTGCCACGTATCAAAGGTTGGTCGATAAAATTTTTAAGGAGGAAGTGGGGAGGAATATGGAGGTATACGTGGATGATATGTTAGTGAAGAGTAAAGAGGAGTTGGATCATGCGCGAGATTTGAGAGAAACATTCTTGACGTTGCGGAGATACAGGATGAAGCTAAACCCGGCCAAGTGCTCTTTCGGAGTGAGGTCGGGAAAATTTTTGGGCTATCTAGTGACTAAGAGGGGTATTGAAGTCAATCCAGAGAAGGCTCGAGCTGTGATGGAGATGAAGTCACCAACAAACGTAAAAGAGGTGCAGATTTTGGCCGGTCGGATTGCGGGGCTAAGTCATTTTATATCGAAGGTGGCGGAGAAGAGTGGCCCATTATTCAAAACCTTGAAGAAGAGCGCGAAGTTCCAATGGACGGACGAGGCGCAAAAAGCATTTGAGGAGCTGCGAAGGGTGTTGGCCAACCTCCCTTTATTGGCCAAACCCGTGCAAGGAGAGGAGCTGGTACTATACATTTCCATCGGGGAGAGAGCTGTAAGTTCGGTATTGTTGCGGGAGGAAGGAGCAGCGCAACTCCCTATCTATTATGTGAGTAGAGTGATGCAAGGAGCAGAGACGAGGTATTCGGAGATCGAGAAGTGTGCGCTGGCTGTAGTGGTAACTGCTCGCAAGTTGAGACCGTATTTCTTGAATCATAAGGTGAAGGTGCGAACGAATATGCCGTTGGGAGAAACATTGGGTCGGCCATCAGTCTCTGGTCGATTGGTGAAGTGGGCGGTTGAACTGAGCGAGTATTCTCTGATGTACGAGCCGAGGAGAGCCATAAAGGCGCAAGTGTTGGCGGATTTTATCCAGGAAGGCACGAAAGTCGAGGAGGAGTCAGAGGGACTATGGCAGTTGTTTGTAGATGGATCTGTGGCCCGAAGTGGAGCAGGATTGGGAATTGTTCTGGTTTCTCCCGAGGGTGATTATTTGGAATTCGCAGCTAAAGTGGGGTTCAAGATATCCAATAATGAAGCTGAGTATGAGGCAGTGATTAAGGGACTGAGCCTAGCCAAAGCGGGAGGTGCTCGAAAGTTGCAAGTACATTCCGATTCCCAACTGGTGGTTGGGCAGTTTCAAGAAGGCTTTGAAGTCAAAGAGGATCGGATGCAGAAATATGTGGATGAGATGAAGAAGCTGAGAGAGGAGTTCGAATCGTTCGAACTAATACAAATTCCTCGAGGAGAGAATGGTCGGGCAGACCTGTTGTCGAAAATTGCCCAAAGTTTGGTAGATTGTAAGAGCAGGAGTGTCACTCTATTGCATCTAGAGAGAAGTGCAGTTGAGACGGAGGTGGCGGAGATCGAAGAGGTAAAAGATTGGAGGGCCCCGATCTTGGAGGAATTGAGAGAAGGGACTATGAAGGTGGTCAGGAGGTTTTTCGAGCATGGGGGTATCCTTTACAAGCGGTCATATGGAGGACCACACCTACGCTGTAT